AGCCATTCCTAACAAAGCTTTGGGAACATTTTATCCTGGACTCGTGCTCCCTCTAGAGAAAAACAGGAGCAGTTTTCACCTCCCTGATGTTGTCCAGCAAAGCAAAAGTTTCAAATTACATCCTGCGGTCAGAAATATGAAAGGAGGCTGACACAGCCCTGGGATGTAGGAGCTGATTAAAACCTTGCAAAACAGAGTTTTTTTCCACAAGGAAAACACAAACCCTGAGAGATGTCGGATGTCAGGAGGGAATCGTTGGTGAGGCACAAATTGCCCAGAAAAGCTGYGGCTCAGRGTGTCCTTTCTGCAGCCAGATCAAAACTGCACCTTGTAAATGACCTCCACATTTTATTTTCTTCTGTTTTAGTTTATTTTCTCCTAGCAGAAAGAAAAACAGAATGTATTTTCAAGGAGTTTCTCTCCATTCCTCAATTCTTTTCCTCTCAGTCCACCCCATTTCTTTCCCAAAATACAAAAGCTCAATCACAGTAAACCACCCAGAACAGCCTCAAATCCCAAAAAGAAAAGCAGAACCCAAACCTGATTTGTACATTTTTATTTTCTTCCCTCTTAGATTTTTTTATTTTCTTCCCTCTCGGTTTATTCTCTCCTAGCAGAAAGAAGGGAATGCATTTTTGGGGAGTTTCCCTCCATTCCTCATTCTTTTCCTCTCAGTCCACCCCATCTCTTTCAAAAATACAAAAGCTCAATCACACCAAACCACCCAGACCTGCCTCAAACCCCAAAAAGAAAAGCAGAACCCAAACCAGAACCCAGATAAAAAAAAAAAAAAATCCTCTGTCAGAGTTTATTTTAAATACCTGTATTTGTCACAGCTTTCAGCACTCTCTTCAACCATGCAAAACCAKCTGATTGTATCAGGGCTGCCCCAGGCACAAAAGTTTGTGTAGTTAATGAATAATTAACTCTGAACTACTACTTTTACCAATATCTGGATGTTCTACATGACAAGGGCCAATCAAAGACCAAAGAAAACATTTTTTTTTTTTTTTAGCACAAAATAGAACACAAAACTAAACGTGCCTTTAAGGRTGTTCATGCAATGCCTCAGGCACGTGCACACCAAAGCTCCAGAAAAAAGACAATAAAAGCTCTTGCAGGTCCATTCCATGAAATTCTGATCCAATTCCCATCCCAGCAAAACCCTTAGGAAAACCCCAGCTTTTGTGCAGTAAGGTTATAAAGAATGCAATTTAGAAAAGAGCTTTTCCAAAGGCTYGTGGATATGTACAATGAGGAGAATTCTTTCACTGATCCCATCTCCCACACCTGATTTGTTCTTAGGCTCAGCCTCAAAWTAAAGAAATTGAGCTGGAGCCCAAAACAGCTCTGCTGTGAGCACAGGACAGCAGGGCCAAAGCACCAAAAAAGAGCTCAAATCTCTCCTTTGGGGAAGAAACTGCTGCCAGTTCATCCTTGGAAAACTCCTGCTATTTTCATCACAATCAGAAAAAGTTTAAATGTCATCAACATATTTAAATATCTTTTTTAATTACAACTGCAGATTTAAAATTTGTGACAGGTGGTTTTTTTTATCGCTTGGAGCTCCTCAGGTAGATCTTGGGGGTTTGCCACCCTGCAGGAGCACTTCTCAAGCCAGCTCTTTTCCAGATGCGTTCCAAATCTTTCTCAAATTTTATCTGAAACAGGAGAAAAAGAAACAAAAAATGGTAATGCAGCTCAGAAGAACACCCACGTGTCCCAAGGACAACATAGGTGCTACATAAACAAAAGAGATAAAGGTTTTAAGTCTCAAAATATTTAATCTTACTGCAGAAAATATATCAGAAGGCATTAAAATGCACAAGGATCTTGGTAGTGTTTTATAAAAGTCCTGTGCAAAGAAAATTGAGAAGATTGCCAATGAAATGGCAAAGAAATTAAGAGGATTTTACTGTGTTCAATGCTGCCTCCTACAAATCTGAAACAGTGGAATTACAATTAACTCTGATTTGCATCTGGGCAAGGTGAGAATTCCCAGAGAATGAACTAAATTATATCCCAGTAAATTCTATCAAAAGGCAGCACTGAAGGAGAACATCCCCAGCTTGAACAAACCCCCATGTTTTCCTTCATCCCTTCTTGTCAGGGAAGTAAAAAACTTCTACATAGAAAAATAGAAAAGGAAGCACCTGGGATGTGGGGAGACAGGGAAGAAATTAAAATTAAAACCATATTCCTGATGCAGGGTAGACGCAGAAATTCACCTTTCACACAAATACTAAAATTCATCTCCATTAATCACATATAAGTTACGGTTACGTAAGAAAAATTATGCCTAGCAATGATCACAATTCTGTTTGGAATCCCAGAATWATTGAGGTTGGAAAAKATCTCCAAGATCATTAAGTCCAAGTGTGACTGATGCCACATCCAGYYCTTCYTTGGACACTTCCAGGGTGAATCCACCACCTCCCCTTCCATGGAGAAATTCCTCCTGCTGTCCAACCTGACTTTTAGCTTGAGGCTAAATGTTGAATTCATGAATTCAAACGAATTTTTCCCCAAATCCATTCCACTTAAATCCAACATCTGGTTGGATGAACAGCAAACYCCCCCTCCCCTGAGCTCACCTGCCGCTTCCTCTTGCGCCCCTCCTTCACCCTCCTGCGGATGAACTTCCTCCTCTTGAGCAGCTTCTTGTACTTGTGCCTGTTCATTTTCCTCCTGCGGATCTTCAGCACATTCCTGCACTGCACTTTGTTGTTCAGGACTCCTTCTCCTTCACCCACATCCCCTGTGGGGGCGGGCGGGGGACACTCGGATCGCTGCGGGGTTTCGTGCTTTGCTTCATCCCGATCATCCTCAGCTTTGGGCAGGGAGTACCTGACGGTCAGCCAGCTCTCCAAGGGGCTGATGGAGAGTTTCCTGGGAATCAGGATCTCCTCCAGCTCAGGGTCCAGCGTGTGCCACTGCTGGGGCTGGGCCCCGCTCGTGCTGGGGGGCTGAGTGCTGTAGCGTGCGGACAGAGAGCGGCAGCAGAGGAACGAGGACACCGACCTGGGCAGGAGGTGGCCTTGGGGAGAAAGGGATTGCATTGAAATTGGGGGATTKTACAGCTCTGCCCAGAAAAATCTAATAAAGGGAAACACTCAAAAAATCACAARAGCAAGGAAGTATTTTCAACTTTTAACTGCAATGCTAAAGTGTAAAAAATTACACTTTACTGGGCAAACTGCCCAAGTCACCCAGGCAGAGCAGGGAGGAGCTTCTCCTTCACTGGGAGGTGTCCTTGCCCATGGCAGGGGTTGGAATTCCATGGTCTCTAAGKTCTCTTCCAACCCAAACCATTCCATGATTCTGTTAAGTGGAATGTTTTTATGTTATTTGATGGAAAATCAGTTTGGGATGCTAAGGCACTGTTTGCTGTATCAAATCACAAGAAGTTAAACCTCAGCTACACCTCACTTACATAACCGATGAGCGGTAATAACGTTTGCAACCCCTGACTCAATAACRGCCTCCTCCCTCCTCCACTGCTTGGTGGAAAAGAAACTTCTGAGAGCCCAATATAAACCAGGAAAAAAAAAATTAAACACAAAATTTGGTCACACAAAACCAATTTACCTGCAATTCTCGAGGCCTTCAGTAACTGGGAACTCAGCTGTGATATTAACATTTTGTTTCACTTTGTTCACTAGCAGAGCCGGCTATGACTGTTCAAATAAGAAAATTTATTCTATAAGGCAAACATGCAGTGTAAAAAAATCCTTTTCTATTCAACCCCAACCCCCAAAAAGACGGCCTGAGACACCCTGAACACCCTCCTGGTTTTACCCTCACCCTTTCGGGCTCTGCTGTGGGGGTCAAGCAGCGGGGTAGCTGAGCCGCGGGGGTGATTTATTAATAAAGCTTGCGYTGTTTTCACTTTAAAAACACGGTAACCGCAGCCGAGCTCCCGGGCACGGTTCTATTCCCCGCTGAGGCCGGGAGGAGCAGCCGCGCAGCCTAAGCAGGGCCGTCCCGAGGGGTCGCTTCCCTCCCCGCAGCCCTCCCGGTGCTGTCCCGGTGCTGCCCCGGCCCTCACGGAGCCCCCGAGCCCCGCGCCCGCCCTCCCCTCACGGCCCCGCCGCCACCGCCGCCATCACCCACCGGCCCCGCCGCCACCGGAACTTCCGGCGGGTCCGCAGCGCCCGCTGGCGGCACCGGGGAACGGCACCGGGGAACGGCCCCTCAGGGTCCGGTGTGGTTCCTCAAAGTGTTGGTGTGGGCCCCTCACGGCCCGGTGTGGTTCCTCAAAGTGTTGGTGTGGGCCCCTCACGTCCCTGTATGGTGCCGGTGTCGGCCCCTCACGGCCCGGTGTGGTTCCTCAAGGTGCCGGTGTCAGCCCCTCACGGCCCTGAATGGCTCCTCAAAGTGCCGGTGTCGGTTTCTCGAAGTGCCGGTGTCGGCCCCTCACGTCCCTGTATGGTGCCGGTGTCGGCGCCTCACGGCCCGGTATGTCTCCTCACGGTGCCGGTGTCGGTTCCTCAGGGTGCCGGTGTCGGCCCCTCCCGGCCCTATATGGCTACCCAAAGTGTCGGTCGCTCACGGCCCTGTCTGGTTCCTCAAGGTGCCGGTGTCGGCCCCTCACCTTCCTGAATGGTGCCGGTGTCGGCTCCTCACGGCCCTGTACGGTACCGGTGTCGGCCCCTCACGGTTCTGAATAGTGCCGGTGTCGGCCCCTCACGGCCCTGTATGGTGCCGGTGTCGGCGCCTCACGGCCCGGGATCGTTCCTCAAAGTGCCGGTGTCGGTTCCTCAAGGTGCCGGTGTCAGCTCCTCACGGCCCGGTATGTCTCCTCACGGTGCCGGTGTCGGTCCCTCACGGTGTCGGTGTCCGTCCCTCACGGCCCGGTATGTCTCCTCAAGGTGTCGGTGTCGGTTCCTCGCGGTGCCGGTGTCGGTTCCTCAAAGTGCCGGTGTCGATTCCTCACGTCCCTGTACGGTGTCGGTGTCGGTGTCCGTCCCTCACGGCCCGGTGTGTCTCCTCAAGGTGTCGGTGTCGGTTCCTCACGGTGCCGGTGTCGGTCCCTCACGGCCCTTCATGATAATTTGTGGTCCCTCAGGGTGCCGGTCTGGGCACCTCACAGCCTTTTAACGGCTCYTCACGGTCCCCAACGGCCTTTCATGGCCTCCAACGGCCCTTCATGATCCCTCACAGTCTTTCATGTTCCCCAATATGATTCTTTAAAGGATTCTGTAAAGGATTCTGTGATTCTATAAAGGTTTCTGTGACCCTGGAAAGGATTCCATGATTCTTTAAAGGTGTATGTGATCCTGGAAAGGATTCTGTGATTCTGTAAAGGATTTTGTGATCCTGGAAAGGATTCTGTGATTCTGCAAAGGATTTTGTGATCCTGGAAAGGATTCTGTGATTCTTTAAAGGTTTCTGTGATTCTGTAAAGGATTTTGTGATCCTGGAAAGGATTCTGTGATTCTGTAAAGGTTTCTGTGATTCTGGAGAGGATTTCATTATTCTAGAAAGGATTCTGTGATCCTGTAAAGGATTCCATGATTATTTAAAGGATTCCGTGATTCTTTAAAGGGTTCTATGATCCTATAATGGATTCCAGGATTCTTTAAAGGATTCTGTGACCCTGTAAAGGAATCCATCATTCTTTAAAGGATTCTATGATCCTTTTCCCGTGATCCTGTTCATACAGGGATGGCAGAAGGCATCCAGACACCTTTCCTGACACTCCCTTGTCTGCATCCAGGGGCAGCTCCCGTGGCTGCAGTCCAGGGCCAGCCACACCTGTTCTCTCCCCCTACCTGGCTGTTGTTTTTCTTTTCTTACAGGAACCCACCACCTTGGCACAGCATGAAAGTGCCTAATCAGCTGGCAGGAGGGAGGGATTTTGAAACCAATCCCAGACTTCAAAGAGCTTTTTGCTTTTCTACCTACCTCAGCCAGAACACAGGAGATTTATTCACCAGCTGCTTTTAGGATTTCAGACCAGAACAAGGGTCTGGATCCATTTTAGGTGCACCCCATTGTGTCAAACCCAACCGCCCTGAAAGGAACWGCAATGGTCAGAGTTTCTTTCTGCGAGGTAGGAATAAAATTCTCTTGCCAGGAMAGAGAAACCTGTGAAGAGGAATGAAGTAAACAGTTCGGTAAACAGGCTGTTTGTTTAATCAAGATTTTATTGAAGACACTTCAGAAGTTTATGTACAAAACAACATTCCCACCCCCAGATCGGGCTGTTAGTCACCTGCTGGGAACAAAGCGAGGTGGACAACCTGGGGACACTCAGAGTTTGCCACAGAATTGATAAAAATACCAAATTCCCGTGGTTTAGAGCTGGACAATTTCAACCTTGGCTCAGTTAGGAACAAAGGAAAACAAAGGAGTTTTTTACTGGAGATAACTGAGATCTGACAGCCTGCACTGGCCTGGCTCTGAGGTCAGGTCACTCAATTCTGCAAAGAGCCAGAAGCCCACTTTGGCTGTGGAAATGAAAAGGAAGCAGCCCCTGGATTTCACTCTCAGGTTTGAATCCGTTTCAGAGGGTTCCGGGAGATGCCCATCCCCAAGAGCGCAGCAGCGTTTGCAGGAAGCATTAGAGCAGAGCAGCAGCAAGGCCGAGTGAAAGAATCAACCACCCTGCATCCCAAACACACCCAGAGAGGGGCTGAATGTCACCCTGGCTATTTCAGCATGTTAGAGAACCCGAGAGACACAGAACGGAGTTGGTAAAATTAAATTGTGACTGATGCTGTTCCTGTGCAGCTCTGAGTGCTTCTACCAYGGTAGAGTTTCCCCTTGCCAGTCCAGGAAAGAACCGTTTTCTTTTTCACCAAGACGGTCCAGAACAGAGAGAATTCCTGGGATAGCTTCTTGTACCTGCATGGGAGCCTGGAATGAATCAGGMTTAGGGTTATTATTGGGATTATGGTGCAGAAAATCATTAAATGCATTGAAAGAGGTTCTAGAATGGAGTAATGAATCAAGTTTAGGATCATTATTGGGAATATGGTACAGAAAATCAGTAAATGCATTGAAGGAGGTTCTAGAATGGAGCCTGGAATGAATCAAGTTTAGGGTCATTATTGGGAATAATTAAATGTATTTAAGGAGGTTCTAGAATGGAGTAATGAATCAGGCTTAGGGTCATTATTGGAAATAATTAAATGTGTTTAAGGCAGTTCTAGAATAGAGAAATGAATCAGGCTTAGGGTCATTATTGGGAGTATGGTACAGAGGAGAATAAATACATTTAAGGCAGTTCTCAAATGCAGTAATGAATCAAGTTTAGGGTCATTATTGGGAATAATTAAATGCATTTAGGGCGGTTCTAGAATGGAGTAATAAATAGGTTTAGGGTCATTATTGAGAATATGGTACAGAAAATAATTAAATGCATTGAAGGAGGTTCCAGAATGAAGGAGGATGGATTTCTGTGTGTCACTGCCTGCCTTTGCAGCACGTGGGGCTGTGCAGCCAGAGGTTGGGACAGCAAGAGAACCCCACYTGCACCTTCCCAGAGCTCACCATGTTTCCCCCCATGTCTGTCTGAAGCCAGCCTGGGTGCAGAGAAATGCAGAGAATCCCGTCAGATTTCAGGTCAGCAGCGAGGCACCGGGTGATCATGTTCAGTGCGGTCTGTGAGAGTGGAAATTCTCGTTAATGAGTTGTTGATGAACCCTGGGCAAAACCCCAAACCCAGCTCCCTTCCACCCTGCTGCCCCTGGCATAGAAGGGACACTAAGAGACTCTCAGTAACTGATCCAGACCTTCTGAAAGCTCTACCAACCATGAACTCACGCCCAAAGACGAAATTAAGTTGTAAAGGAAGATAAAGTAGCATTTGAAACGCCTCAGGAGCCACGAGGAGAATAATATTGACATAAGGACGGTGTTTTTGTGCAATAATCACTGCACAAACATCCACCGACTCCTGAACGGTGAAAACAAGCGTTGAACAGCTTATGAGTAGGCGGTGTAGGAGAAACTGTGTGTCTGATCCTGATTATCTGTCCAAACTCCATCTCTGGATGGCAGAAAACTCCAAATCCCACCTGTCACTGCCTCACATCCCCACGTAGAGGTCAGCACACCTTTTGCTGATTCTCTGCCCACTCTCTCTCTTGGACTGGACAGGAATGCAGCTGATGGAACCCACACTCGATGGCATCACTCTCTTCCCTGAATGCCAAATCCCCGTGGAATGGATCTGCATCAGAGCAGGATTTGGGAGYTGCTCTCCAGGACTTGGTGTGTCTATTCCAGCTGTAGAGTTCCACAGCTCTCATTTCCACCCACAGAAATGCAGAACGGGAAGGGTTTTGGTGTCCGCAGAGGTGCTGCACCCATTGGCATCCCCACCCTAAGGTCAGAGTGGTTTTTAAGTGTCCTCAGGCAGGGAGCACAACCTGGGGGAGCCCACAGACTTTGATTGGGGTAAACCTTGAGGAGCACAGCTTGATGGAACCCACAAACCGTGGTTGGGATAAACCTTGAGGAACACAGCCCGGGAGATCTCACAAACCTTGGTAGGGATAAACCTTGAGGAGCACAGCCCAGGGAGCCCAGAAACCTTGGCTGGGATAAACCTTGAGGAACAGAGCTTGATGGAGCCCACAAACCTTGGCTATCCTGTAGGGATAGACCTTGAGGAACATCTCGTTGGCCTGGACGAGCTGCATGGAGGCAGCCAGAGAGGACATGTTGATGATGGCAGCTCGGTGACAGCCCATCCCAGTGCTCCGCTGGGCTGCCTTCCTCAGCAGGGGCAGGAAGGCCTGTGGAAACAAGAGTTTGGGTTAATTTGGTGATTTGGATTGGAGTTGTGATGTTTTTTTAAAAAACTTTCTATATTGTCATGTCTTTGTAACCCTGGAATTCTTGAGTGTTTAACTCCAGACTCCACAGACAGTGCTGAGCTCTCCCATTTTTACACAAAACAATTCCTCTGCAGCCCCAAACTCAAGGACACCTCACTGTGCCAGGCCCCAAGAGATGGAAACAACAGAGAACTGGGGGGAGCCAACTTGGAGTCAATGACTGCATTGGCTGAGCTGCAATTGGAGGATTCAGCCCCAAAATGGACAGAAGTGAGAAAGGGTGAAAAACCCGTGAGCCATTGTCCATTGTGGGWGTGGGGCTGCCCTGGGTGCACCTCAGCTGGAAAAAAATGCTTTATTGTGGCAGCCCAGGGGTGCAGCACCTTTCCATCCCAAACCATGCAATATTGGAGTGTTTTATTTCTGTCAACTTGTGAAAGAAGAGGAAAAATTTATCTTAACGATGACTTAGAGAGTGTAGGGAGAAGGGAGGGTCTCGGAGCAAAGCAGGGAGCAGGAATTCCCGATGTGCAAATGGACAAAACTGATAAAAATGTAAAAAACCCATGAGCCATTGTCCATTGTGAGTGGACTGGGACTGCCCTGGATGCACCTGAAGGCCCTGCCATAAACAGAATTTTCATTTTATTGTTGTTTGAATTCTGTAGAGGGTCTGCTTTAGGTGAGCCAGATTTAGGCATCAATTGGATCATGTCCTCATTCAGAATGAGCATCCCAGCCCAGCCCAGTGCCACCAGCACAGATTGGGGATGTTCCTCAACCCCAGTGACCAAAACCTTCCTGCAGCAGCCTCTGCCCACCCCAGGAACACCAACAGGAAATCCTGCTGCTCTCCACGGCAGAGCTGTCTCTGTGCCATTCCAAAAACCTGGACAAACTCATGGAAAAGCCCCAGATTAAGGAAACTCCTGGCAGCCCTTACCTTGGTGACCATGAGCTGCGCCACGGTGTTGGTTTCGTAGATGGTCAGCATGGTCTCTGCGGTCACCTCCTCCAGCGAGGCCAGCACGTTGATGCCCGCGTTGTTGATGAGGCAGTTGAGGCCTTGGTCCCCCACCATCTCCTCCACTTCCTTGACCACTTTCTTGATGCTGCTCTCACAGACCACATCTGCACAGAGGAGCCGGGGAGAGAGCCCCAGGAGCAGCTCAGGGTGAGAAAACCCATCCCAAACCCAAGCCCAGGCTCCATGGAGGCGTTTGGGCAGCGCCAGATGGAAGAAAACACACAAGAAACTTCACAAAAGTACATTTCCCCTGTGATATYTTGAGATGGTTTTCAGCTGCTGGAGTTCACGTCCAGCTACTGATCACCCAGGAGAGCAATTTTTTAAGATGTACTCACTTAAACTGAACATATTTCATAAAAATAAAGCTCTCTACTCACCCAGTTGCAGGAGCTTGATGTTGCTGTATTGCTTGCTAAGCTGCTGGAGTTCCTAGGAAGAAGAAATTTTAATTTTTAATCTTTTATATATATAAAAAAATATTTATCTTCGTGGCTGTTACATAAATCAGTTTGAATTCTTCATCTCCAGAAYTGCAACTGAAATATTTTCATGAYTGGACCGTTCTACTTGGTTTTCCARCCTGCTGAGCAGCTTTCCTTARARCCAGATCAAGAAACTGGATTCACCCCTGCTTAGTCCCAGCTCCAGCATGCTGGATTTTTAGTGGGATAGTTCTCGATTTTAACTCTCATTTCTCAGCATTCCAGAAAAAAACCAGCATTTCCCCAAATCTCTAAGACAAGCGTAATTCTCCTGAAGCTCAGCTAGTGCTGGCCATCACTTCGTGCCAACATGAAGCTTTTAAAAAGCCACTTGGAATTCCTGTTTTGGGGAATTTTCCCATGTTTTCCCATGGGAATCGCTTTTCCCCAGAAGTGTTGGTGTCATTTCTCATAAGAAATCWGTCCCAGGAGAAGGATTCCCTCTCTTTTCTGCCCATCAGCAGAGCAGCTCCTGGATAAATCTGCGGTGTCCCGCACGGATTTACAGGCCCAGCTGGGATATTTCAGTTCCTGCACCACAAAGCCAAAYTCAGCAGATGGATTCCATACCCACAGCCACGCTCAGCAAACCTGGCCTGACATTCCATCTCCAGCAAATCCCGTTCTTTAGGAGCCCTTTGGGAATTGGGGTCAGGAGTAGGGTTTGGGAAAAACACTCCCCTGCCCTTTGGAGAGGCGGGAGGGACTCGGTGTCCTCTGACAAACCCATCCTTTATCTGCCATCACACCCCGCAGGATCCTCTCCAATTTGTTCTCCCAATCCACAATTGCAATTAAGGCTCTTCAGGGGATGAAGGAAGCAAAAAGAAGACRTTCCATCCCATAAATTAAAGACCCAGAACATCTTGAATTGTTTGTGGATAGCCCAGAATGAAATAGCTCCGCYGTGTCAAGGCCTGCGATAATTCCGTGCCTTTGAGGCATCTCTGGGTTTTGGTTTGACAGATAAAAAACTCCAGAAGTGCTCTGGCTTCTCTGGGTTTGTTCATTTATTTATTGTTGGTTTATTTACGTGTTTTAATTTCGGACAGAAACGAGCTACTGACTCCTGCTGAAAGGCCAAAGTTGCTCCAAGCAGCAACCAAGAGGCTTCTGCATATTTGCAATGAAGAAAATTGATAATTTTCTTTAAAAAAAAAAAAATAAAACACTCTCCACAGCTTGAAATTACAATAGCTGCATGCAAATGAGGTTTCAAATTCAATGGGTTTTCCAGTTAATTACTCAGTTAATGAGTGAATCCAACTTCAGGGGTTGAAATTGCTGAGAAGAGGCTCCCGGGCGTGAAGTTGATCCAGGCAGCTTTACACCTGATAAAATCCAGTTAGAACATCTGAAAATTGCAGGAAAGCCGATTTTCCCTCTCCTGTGACTACGAGGAACACGAGGAGAGGAGGATTGAGACAATATTTTTAATTTGTGAGCCCTGACAGAGAATTTCAAATCAAACAAAACCAACAAACCCCACTAAAACCCCACAGCAAACCCCCTAAATCTGTGTTTGTTTAGCACTGCACCTGAACAGCACCCCTGAGAATCCGCTCCTAAAGAGTCCAAAAAAAAAATAAAATAAACTGATTAGCATCTGTTGTTTCCTGCTTGCTGATTTTTAATTAGGCTTCACAAAGAGCCGGCCTATTCTGATTTAAGCACAATCCTCTGGCACTCCAGGCTCATCAGCACACGGGGTATTTATTGCTCGATTTTTTTTGTTGTCTTTGTCATTTAGCGAGATTTACTTGGAGATTTATTCTCCTCTTTTCTGAAAGCATTATCCAGCTCGGGTTACAGCTCTTGGAAAGGAGCTCGGGCAGCTGGAAACCATCGAGGTGAAAAAAAAACCACGGTCTGTGGGCAGGATGGAGGTGCTGGGGTATTCTCCACATCATCCTGGACACAGCCAGAGGTGGATCCTGTTTKATTGTTTTCCTCTGGGATGAGTTTTTGGTATCACGGTGTACAGCCAGATCACTGTTCTGCCCTCT